GGAGGCAAAGGCGGCCGGGCGTGGTGCTGGCCACCCACCCCCTCGTGTGCCGTGCCGGCCTTCATAGGTGCTCACAGCACTTGCCCCAACAGTCTGTTAAGGCTATATGGGGGGGGGGATCTTTGTCCTGTGCTATGAGAAAGGGTTGTTGCCCGAAACGTCGCCGATTATATATGTTATTCGAATGTCGCAGCGTCAATGCGTGTACGCACGTGGAACTTCTTCTGCGCTCGTACGTAGCCGACAGTGCTAATCGTAGGTGCCGGCGTGCGTGCGGGAGGCGTTTTTTTGTATTCTTTTGTGTGAAATGTGCACGGGCATCCACTTGGCACTGCAGCAGCAGCAATCACTACATAGCTTGTTGGGTCGAATACTGTTAGCGAGCGCCTATTAAGGCCGGCACGGCACACGAGGGGGTGGGTGGCCAACACCACGCCCGGCCGCCTTTGTCTCTCCAGTGGCGATGTTTACACATCGCACCAGGTAGTCATCTTGAAGCTGAGTCGACCGAGGAGAGGCCCAGGACCGGTTCAGATAATGAATCGTCGCTGCTGTTGGCCGCGTCCAGGAATCGAACACGGGGGCTCCGGGTTCGTAGCGCAGCGCGCTAACTACTGCACCACCGCTCCCCACGTGTACACACGTGCTCACATGCACGCACGCACGCATATCCAATCGGCACACGACAGCAGGGGGGAGTGGGTGGTGACCAGCACGGACGCCTTTGTCTCCCCAGTGGTCATGTTGACGCACTGCACCGGGTACTCATTTAAGGCCGAGTTTATCTAGGGCAGGCGGGTCGACAGCCTGCGGCTCGTGAGCCACGTAGCGGCTCTTCAAGGAATGCTTCGTAAGACGTTTTTTTTTCACAACAGTGCATTGCGGCTCCTGAAATATTTAGGGTTTTTTTTGTTTTTTGGGGAGAGGATGGCTACCGAATTCCAAAAAAAAAATGTTTTTTTTTTATTTTTGTTGCCGACTTCTGACCCAGGATGTACGGTCCGATATCAGGTTCACATATTCGCTGACGTTTGCTATCGGTCGCGGAAGGCGGGCATCGATCTCCGCCGCTAACCGTTGCGCCACCACTCCCCCCTCGCCGTCCACCACCGCCGCCGCCGCCAACCCAACCCAACCGAGGCAGCCCGTTACCGTGAACATTCTCGAGTGTTTCATCATTACAGCGGCTCCTTAATTAAGCCATGCAAATGCGGTAGCGGCGGGAGAGATGGAAGGGCACCCTCCCGCCTAATGATTGCGTTAATGCGCGGCATTGTCATAGCTGCGGCGCGCGTGCGTGCGCGTTATTGATGGGATGGTGTCCGTGAACATTATTAATTCACCCACCCAACCCACCCACCAACCCCCACCAGACCTATCTCTGTTTGCCCTGTTCTCACGCAAATGAAGATGTCTCGGAACGCGCGCGCGTTTGCAGACGCGTCAAGGTTCTCCCATTGGCGCTCGGAGCGTTCGCGTTCGTTCAGCGATAATGCCGCGGCCTTAAATCAATAAATAAACGTGCGTATGATCGGCGACGTTTCGGTCATGGGGCCTTCTTCAGAGCGCCTTCTTCAGAGCACCTTGTTCGTGGAAGGGCCGTGGGCTCAAAATGTCGCATTTTTTGCCTTCATTTTATTTTCAGGCCACTGTGTTTTTTTGACGAATGCGTTTTTTTTTTCGTACGTCCATTGCCCTCTTGCAGCAGCAGCAGCACCAGCAGCAGCATCCGCACGTTATATTTAATATCAGCGCAGGACTAATTACTGCACACGGAACGCCTGTATACTAATTAATGTGCTCCTTCATCCAGCAGTGGAATGACCATGGCCGATGTTGATACTGTACCGTATTACTGGCGTGGAGCGGTGGGAAAAGTGGTTAGCACACTGCGTTACGAACCCCGACTTGTATTGTCCACGGCTAACATCAGTGGCGAGTTATCTACTCGAGCCGGGGTTAGGCCCCTCGCCCGCCCCCCCCCCCCCCCCCACCCTCCATGATGACATCTATTCAACCAGAACTTCGTGACCATTCTACGTGACTTTACCGAAAGAACCAAGAATAAAACATTATTTTATTGTGTTTTAGTTTTATTATTTTATTTCCATTCTACGTGAACCAAGAAGATAATTATATCGATGAGTCTATTATAATTACAAGTGATGCAGTATTACATTATTATTTTACCGTGGGGTATCACAGTGGCGAGATGTTAACTACCTCGCCTGGTAAACAGGAATTCGTGGGTTCGATACCGACCCTGACGCCTGCTGCTGTATATTTAAAGTTTGCGGTGTCTCTTTTCCCGTGGTAGCGTGGATTTTTCTCCGGGTCCTCCGGTTTTTTCCCTCCACATTTCAAATCAACGTCGCGCGTTTATGAGTATTCGGCTGCTATAAATGTCCACATGATGATTAAGCCACTTCGTAGAGGTATCATTTGTGGCCAGGTCGATTTTGAAAAAAAGAGCTATATAGCTCAATTGGGGCCTTACCTTATCAAATAAAAAATATATATGTTTAGTTTAATTATTACCCATACAATTATAATATGAAAAAATTAATGCAAATTTTTTTTAGTGCAATTCCTTTTTTTTTAGTTTGGTAAGTCACTTTCAACTCGACAGTCTTTCGCAGCCGCTTGAGAACTTTCCTCCTTGTTTACTACGGGGCTGCATTTTTGAGATGTTACGACTCACCAGCTTGTCCGCCACCACGCACTCCGGAGACACCGTCAGCAATTGAATAAATCCCTGGACTGATGAATGCAACGTGTGTTGTTTGTTTTGTATTATTAACTCTACTAATGTGTTGTTATTATTACTACTACTCATTTTAATTATTACTACTCAAATTATTCATGCAACTAATAATTATTCAAATGTATAATGCCCATTCCATCATAGGATCCCAATGCGCACAACGGCACAAGTATTCACAACCCTGTCCACCCCACCCCCCCCCCCCCTCTCCTTGTGCCCATGGTCACTTGAAATGTAAAGTTGTTGGTAGTTTGAACATTTAAAATATTTGTTTTAACCTTTTCTAGCACTACAAAGGGGTGTTCAGATGTTCAAAGCACCAAACATGCATCGTTGTCGCGAGAGGAATCACGTCCGCATGAACCACACAGCGTACATGTGGCAAAAGCAAAATAACCCGTGCACAACAAACATGCTCGCAACATCTACGCATTGTCTTTGAAACCTCTCCGCAGGTCACGCGTTGTCATTGTTGCAAAGCCTTGCGCGCAATCATGGCCAGCGGCCACAGCCACAGCCCTCTCTCCTCCTACTGCAATTGTCCTCCCGTCTCGATGGGAGTGCGACAAGCGCCCGAATTGTTATGCGGAGGACGGCACCACCACCACCACCGCCACCAAAAAAAACACACACGTTCTGATCTTGAAGTTCGCTTCGCTGTGGCGCAATCAGTGCGCTTATTTGTTTTATTATTTGTTTCAACATTTTCAAGGTCAACTTTTGTTTCTTGTAGCTTAAACATCTTTTGTTTAAGATGCTATGTAATGCAGGGTGCGTCGTAAAAAGATGTTAACACTTCTGGGAATTTGCAACAACGCCACGAGAAATGTGCCTCCTCCTCCTCCGTGCTCCGGAGATCACCCGGAGAGAAGATTCCAGGCCACGCGTTGACAACGACGGCGAACGAGTGGAGAGACTCTTTGACTTTTTGCAGCTATTAACATTGCATTTGTTATCACGTTACAGTGTAGTATAATCCGTTCTTTTTCCATCTTAAAAACGATAGTACCATATAAGTGTTAACATTTTTCTTGACGCACCCTGTGTATATTACTTATTTATTTATTGCCCGACTCGATTTCATCCCCGATTGCTACATCGACAGTCGCGTCCGCGAGACGCGGCACCACGAGACGCGCCAAAGCCTCGTGCAATGCGGCCCCGCGGAAGCGGATATCGCAGAACTAGTTCTTGAGATCCCGTCAAGTGACATCTGGTCCGCCACACGAGAGTAAAGTCCGTCACGTAAAAGCAAGACCAATATTTTTTTCGAACTCTCAAGAGCTGCGGTTCAGCCCAAATTAAGTGCAGAAGAAAAACTTCACGTGGATTTTTTGTGTGTGGTGGTGGTGTGTGTGTGTGTGTGCGGTCGTTGGTGACCATGTTAAAAACCCTGGTTAATCGCAGGCCGGCAACTGCTTGGATTCGAACCCAGGGTTTTATCGGCACTAGCCGGGCATCTGGCTGCATCCGTTTCATTATTTTAGGGGAGCGGGTGGGGGGAGGTACATTAAAATGAGATGAGAAACGTTCAACCGCCACGTCCTCGTTACGTCGAGTACTGACGAAATCACTTGACAGTCCTTTGCAAGGCCGGCCTCGTTAGCCATGCGGTTTCAAGACAAATTGTCACTTGCCGTTGGTGAAATCTCCGGCCGCAGATCCATTCAACTCACGTAACTAATTCGCGGGTTGTATAATTTGCCTGCAGCGGCTGAATCTCGCCACGTACGAACGAGACGCGCGCGTGCGCGTCCTCGGTTTGGCTCTCACGAAAATACTCTATGGGGAAAATGAGAAGAAAAACAATGGAAACAAAATATTGGAGAGAAAATGCCGAGGGATTAAGCGGAAATGGAAATGGACCTGTTCTCTGTTTCTCGGTTTTGCAAAAATATAAAATAAAAAAAATCACATGAAGCAAAACGAACAAGAGCGGTGTTGAATTTACAAATGCCCCTGATTTTAGAAAATTAATGGGTTTTCTCCTCTTTGTTCAGATTAATAATGTAAGATGCTCATTTATTCACATAAGCAAAAATGTCAAGTTACTTTTAGAAGAGCGTAGCACATTCTCTTAGATTGCAATCGGGTCACTTTTAAGTTAGAGATCACCTTTGTTAAGCTGTCATCAGAATTTGATTATTTATTTCTACTTTTATTTTTTGCTAAAACAATATTTTTTTATTTCCCCTCCCGGCCTCTCTTTCTCCCTCGCTCTCAATATCTCCCACAGCGACGGTTACCACGGCAATGCTCCCGGCTCCCAGCATTCCCGGGATATTTGCGGTGATGACCCCTGACCCCGGCAACGAGGGGTCACCAAGCGCGGTCCCACATGCGTCCAAGACTGCCGGTACATCGCTCTCGAATCATGCTCGCTTGTTTTTTTGCATTTTTGTCTGGATGTGGTCCACAGCGGTGCCGGTCAAGATATCGACTGTTTTTGTTTACGTTTTATTTTATTTTATTATTATATGTTGTTTGGGTTTTTTTGTATTTATTCGCTGTCTCTTCTGGTCGAAAGACACATTCCCACTCCCCCCCTCCCCCCCCCCCGCCCCCTCCAAACTTTCACGAGCACAACCTGGCCCCAACACACCCGACTCCCCCGTGGAGCGACGCTGCGTCTCAAACACCCGCAACCGCACGCGCGCAGACGAAGATCCCCCCAACGTGGCCTCGAAAAATCCCGAGGCGCGCGAGAGGGGGCCCGCCACCTCCGTCTTCCCGGCTCCCATTGTTCACACGCTGCGGCAGATGCTCGACAAGGGCACTTGAGGCCGAGTCGATCTAGGGGAGGCCCCGGGATCGGCCGAGGCGTTCGTCAACCGACGTCGGGAACTCGCGCAGCCGCACTCAACGCTCGCTAACCCTCACGCTTACACAAAGGCAAAGATCCCCCGTATAGCCCAACACAGGCTGTTGGTCGCAGGTGTTGTGTTAGCGAGCGGCTATGAAGGCCTGTACGGCACACGAGGGGGTGGGTGGGGCCAGCACCACGCCCGGACGCCTTTGTCTCGCTGGTGGCGGTGTTTACTACACACCGCATCAGGTACTCATTTGAGGCTGAGTTGAACCAGAGGGAGGCCCAGGACCGGTTCAGATAATCGTCAACGGCGTTTGACCGTGGGCGGGAATCAAACTCGTCTCGCAGGGGGTCCGTTGTGCAGCAGCTCGCAAACTACTGCGCCACCGCTCCCCACGCTCACATCCACGCACACCACGCCTCCCCCGCCTCCTTCTCTTCCTGCCTTCGTGAATAAAGAGTCATTAGATGTAATTAGGCCACCGTTAATAATTGAGGCCATTTTGTGCTGCAGAAATTACAGGGTGGGGTGAAAAGCGAGGCCGGTGGGGGGTGGAGGGGGGGGGGCGAAAGCGACGCTCAGTTAATTAATGACTGAATAGTTTGGTGATGGATGGGGAAATAGAAGGCAATTTAATTTTTATCCCGTGGAAAATTGAACCCCTTAAAGGGGTCCTTCAATGCATTGTTGGCGTCATTTTCCCCACACTTCATTTTCGTGATTTACACGCCCCGAGAACATTATTTCACTACTTCTGTTTCGGTTAAGTCATTAAAGTCACCACCATCGCCAAACTAGCGGCTGTCTGCCCGGTGCCACAATCCACCTCGCCGTGGTCATCCTCTGGGAGATGTCCCCCTAAAACTATCAGCGAAACTCGTTTTTATTTCAACTAGGTAAGGCCCCACTGAGTCTACGTAGCTCTTTTTCAGCAGCGACCTGGCCACAAACGATAGCCCAACCAAGTGGTTCATCATAAACGTGGACATTGATAGCCGCCAAATACTCTAAACGCAAAAAAAAAGGTCCCATGTTGTAGCTGCTCAACCCCGAGCTATGAATGCCCTGATAGTGGCATTGTCTTTGTGCTCTTCACCTTTTGGCGTTCTCTGGTCTGACGGCGCCGGTGAGACAAGGCCAAAACGACGGCTGCCTCGCGGGTAGGCCAATCAGTTTCAAAGAGAATACAGACACTGTCAGAGCGTGTTTGTTTGCATGTCCACCACAAGTACCCTGGGTGTTTAATGAAGGCTTTATTCCTTGCAAAATTCATCTATTTGGTGTTTCAACGGCTTAACACCTGCTTAATTGCCAGAAAGGGTAAAACCTATTATTATTTTTCATACGGGTAGAGGGACACAATAAACTCCAAATATACAGCAGGCGTCTAGGTTGGGATCGAACCCACGACCTCCTGTATACGAGGCGAGGCAGTTAACATCTCGCCACTGGGATACCCCTTCCCCCCCTCCTTTGGCTGTCACTCCACGGTTAGCCTCGACCACTGGCCATCGACCCTTCTAGCCAAGACTGTAGCCTGAACAAGCCCCACTCACGTTCCTTAACAGTCAACGATATCTCTCTGACTTCCGTTTGTTCTCCAACACATGCATTCCCCCCCCCCCCCCCCTCACTCTCTTTCTCTCTCCCGGTGTTTGTATAATTGACCTTCTAATATTTTTCGTCCCATTTTAATTATCGGTTTCCAAGTTTCTGATCCGTACGTGACAGCAGGTAATACCCAGCGACTGGGAAATCTCCTCGTTAGCATCCTTGGTGCGTTGCTCTTTTTTCCCCAAGCGTGACTTATCGGCAGTTATCTTGATTATCCGACGACGGGAGGTTATAGAGCTTGGCACAGAAATCATGGAAAGTTGGGCCTCAAAAGAAGTGTGATGAGAGCATAAGTCACGTGCGTTCGCCAAACAACTCAACACCATCAAATACAACACGTGCATCATCTGCTGGACATCTGTAAAACTACTGGACATCTGTCAAACTACTGGACATCTGTGAAAAAAAAGCTTTATAGCTCAGCGGATTCCTCCGGTGTAAAATACATATTCTGATTCTTTTTCTGAAAGAAAAAAAAACAGTGGCACTAAAAGAAAAAAATATATAGACGACGTTTAAGGCAATGACCCGTCTTCATGGCAGTTAAATCTAGAGGCGAGTCAGGAGAAAGAGTGGATAATGAGAGTTGGAGACCTCACTTCTTTACATCGTGGGGGAACCTGATGAGAAAGACATGTTTAAACATGTGTGTGTGTTTTTTTATTGGGCACATTACGAAGAGTCACACAGCCACACACAGTAGCGGGAGCACTTTGAGCAGCGTCGCTGAGTCAAGGGTCGCACCATCACCGGGTAATCCATCGCGAGCGTTGAGTTCACTCAGCAAGAGGGAATCTTTTGCGAGCGCGACGGGGAACTGAGAATCGCGACCGAGTGCCTCCTACGTTCGAAACAATTGAGAATCTCGCGAGGAAATATACAATTGTTACGCAGGAAGGTGAGGGAAAGAAAGTTGGCGACTTAATTATTATTATTATTATGAAATAAAACTCGGTAAAGCCAACTCTTATCACCGGTGTCCCAGACAGGATGAGAATCATGGACAATATATATTTTAAAATGTTATTTCAATTCCTCTTCTTTTCAACTCTATATTTGTTGCAATTCGTGTGTGTCTTCAAATTGCAACCTTCTCAAAAGTGATTTGCTAGAGCGATAGAAGTCAAAAAACGCCTAAGCCTGCGTGCTCTCCGCCGCTTACACTTGGCGAATGGATTTGGGGCTCCGATGTCCTTGCCCAGTTCTGGCCCAGTGTGGCTCACAAACTCAAGGAAGGAACAAAAAAACAGATCTCCCCCCCCCCCCCCCAAAAAAGGGTAACTTTTCAATGGTCGCATATTTCCCCGCCTGCCTGCCGAGTTAAGCACGCGGCGTTTTTGCTCAGAGCACACAGCCCGTGCATTAACCCCGCCTTGCCCCCCCCCCCCGCTCTCTCTCTCTGTACCCGTGCTGTTATTTTTCTCCGCGGTGATGCATTTGGGAGCAGGCGCTCGGGTCGGTCAAAGTAGAGCCGTGCACTCACGGACGCTCGCGCGTGCAGATTAAAGATGCCCCCCCCACCACCACCCCGAGTGTAGTATGTGCAAGGCTGTCGGGTCAAGTGCTGTTAGATGAAGGCCGGCACGGCACACGTGGTCATGGGAGGTTGGGGTGGGCGTTGTGGCCAACTCCCACGCGGTGCGAATGTTATCATGCCGCATCAGGTACTCATTTGAGGCTGAGTCGATCTAGGGGAGGTCCAGGACTCCTTCATATAATTGTTGGACGTGAGCGCAATGGAACGGAAGTGTGGTCACCGAGTTCGTAGCTTTGTGCGTCAACCACACATTGAAGACAAAGACACAGATCTCCCGTATTGCCTGCAGCAGACTGTTGGGGCAAGTGTTGTTAGCGAGCACCTATGAAAGGGGGCACGGCAGACGAGGGGATGCGTGGTCAGCACCACGCCCGGCCGCCTTTGTTTCCCGAGTGACGATGTTTACTACACACGCACCAGGTACTCAATTGAGGCTGAGTCGGCCTAGAGGAGGCCCATGACCGGTTCATATAATCATCACTGGTGTTGGCCGCGAGTGGGAATCGAACTCGGGTCGCCGGGTTCGTAGCGCATCGCGCTAACTGCTGCACCACCGCTCCCCACGTGCGCACGCACACACACACGCACACACAGACGCGCGTATCCCATCTCAAACAGAGCAGAAGTTACATTCACCCGGTCCCTATCGCTGCAAAACACATTCGTGCAAATAGTTGTAAATATATCACACCCCCGCCCCTCCACGGCCCCCACAGCCCCCTCCCCTCCTAATACAAATCCCCCCACTAACATGCCCTACCCCCCCCCCATCACCCCCCTAACGCAGGGCCTCATTGTTTTACTGTGGGAGCCACCATTCAGACAGCGCGGATAACAACAACAACAACAATACAAGTTCGGCGCTTCCTCTCCTCCCCACGCGCGCGCCCGTAATTTGTAAGTGCGAGATGGTCCCGGGCACTAGGGGCTTCACGAGATGCAGGCGTACATCAGGGACTAGGCGCCGTCCGCTTGGCTGCCCCTGGCTCCTTTTTTTTTGGGGGGGGGGGGGGTGGGCGGCCGTCAAAGCGTTTCACGAAAAGGGTCCGTGAACTTTGTGGCCGCAGATCGCGCGCCCCCCCCCCCAGCCCAGCCCCGCCGCGCCCCTCCCACTTTGTTTTTGGTTGAAGCATCGCAACGCGCTGGCGTGCTGGTGGGGAGGGGAGGGGGAGCTTTCCCGCCCACTCCGCCCTCCCCCCAATCACCACAGAATTAGCCCCCCCCCCCCCCCTGACAAGCACCATGAGATTTGTTTTCCAGCGACGGTGTAAAATAATTATTTTTTTAAATATATATTTTTCATTTCGTTCGAGCATTGACATTTGCCTTCCGCATCTTGCGCAAATCAAATATTGCCCCCCCCCCCCGAGCTGATAATGTAGAAAATCCATAATC